CATCGGTATTAGTATTGGTATCGATATTGGTATTAGTATTGATATAGGTATTTGTGTTGATATTGGTATTGGTATTGGTATTGGTATTGGTATTAGTATTGGTATTGATATTGGTATTAGTATTTTTATGGTATTGATAATGGTACATGTAATGGCAATGATAATGGTATTGATAATGGTAGTAGTGATGGCAATAGTAATGGCAATTTTAACGGCAATGGTAAGGGCAATGGTAACGGTAATGGTAATGTTATTGGTAATGGTAATGGTAATGGTGTTGGTGTTGGTGTTGGTGTTGGTGTTGGTGTTGGTGTTGGTGTTGGTGTTGGTGTTGGTGTTGGTGTTGGTGTTGGTATTAGTATTGGTGTTAGTATTGGTATTGGTATTGCTATTGGTATTGGTATTGTTATTGTTATTGTTATTGGTATATTAATATTAGTATTATTATTGACATTAGTATATTAAAGTTAGCATTATCATATGATATATGTAATAATATTATTAGTATTAGTATTAGTATAAGGATTATGGGTTATTTCTTTGCTACAACCGATGAAAACTACAATGGGTGATTTTTTTACCGTTGATCCACACACCAATGTGTGTGTTTGTTTGTTTGTGCGCATATAAATGAATAAAGATCTACCAGGTGTATTTTATTGGGTGTAGTATAAAATAAATTGAGGATTATGATTAGGATTGATATATAAAAACAGTACTGGAATTGAAATTCCTGATGACATTGCTGATTCGTGATTCTTTCGAATATTTTTTGGATCTTATCGAGTTTGTTTATTCCAATCTGGTGTGCAACCTGTTCAATTAAATAAACCATATGTAAGATTTTTATCAAGTAGGAATCTGCCGATACGACCAACGTTACAAACAATGTGGTACACCTTGAAACTTTTCAGCATATATTTAGGTAACTATGTAAAATTGTATACATTATTAAATAACAACCTTTAATTTTTTATTACTTATATGTATCGGTTATTCGTAATTTGTATTGTACTATGAACTTACTATCGATTCCACTCAAGATTTTTTATCAAGGTAAATTTAGCGTAAAATGAGTTTATTTCATTAAACATTTATATTGTTGTTGTTTTGGTAATTGTTAGTTATTTCGTATGACCACTGTACAAAATATGTAGGTTACTCGTATTGTATTGGATACATGCGTTATGGCGGTTGTTATCAAACGCAATAACAATAATTGTTTGGATCAGATTAAGAATTTGAATTAATTGTTCCTTATGGCTGTATAAGTTTGGGACCAACGATGTATTCACTCTTTGTATAAGGAAAAAAAACCTTCGATTGTTAACTTTTCCACTTATTTTGGCTTAATTGATTCCTTACACTATACGAAATAGTTTTTTATTAAATATTTTTCTAATACTTTGTATTGCATATCAACCATTCATCTTACTATTTCAAGAACTTTTTTAATATCAAATATTTGTTAGAACTCAATGTCCCGTGCATCGCACGGGTGAAATACTAGTATTTACTAAAACAGATTGTCTTCATTTTATTTTATTTTTTACCAATAACCAAAATGGTATTGCATTACGAAACAGATTCTGTTCAAGAAGTTTGATTTTTGTAGCTATAAAATTCTAAACAAAAAAGCACACGTGACTTTCATAAGGAAAAAAAAATTAGATATGCAATTAATTCATCAAACAAAAAAAGATTATTCTTGTTGAGATTTTATGTTCCAAAATCATCCGATTGATTATGGTCAATCATAATATTTTTAGCAAAGATTTTATATTCCAAAATCACTTTGTATTCAAGGAATGTCTTTACCTAGCACTAGCAATATTTAAACCCTTTGGACTTGTCAATTCTTTTATTACACAAAGTAGAACCTTAACAAAAGTTTTAAATCAAACACAAGGTTCCCAATGGACAAAATCAATGTCTTTTTGCTTTTGATTTCTTGCATTCTTGGTGTTGCATACGGTCACGAGATGACGAACTCTACATCGATCGGTCAGAAGCAACTCGTCAAATGGTGCATTGCCCAGCCGAGTGCTCCTCAAGACAAGCTGCAAGGATTTATAGACTACGCGTGCGGGGTTGTCGATTGTTCAGCCATTCAACCAGGCGGTTCTTGTTATTATCCCACTATAGTAGTGAGTCATGCAGATTACGCTCTGAATATGCTCTACAGGGTTAAAGGCTCGTGCAATCTATATATTGCTAAGATAGTAACAGACAATCCTTCGTATGGGAGTTGCAACTATCCGTGACCCTAGAGGAAGATTCAAGAAAAAACGAGAATTTTAGAAGGAAAAAAATAGAGTAATTAGATTATTGTTTTCTTCAAATCTTGTGTTGAATGAAATTATTTACTTTTTGACATGATGCACCCTGAAAATGTTTATATTTAGCGCAATGCACTCTAAAATTATAATTTTGGCATAATGCATCCGAAGATTACAAATTATTTTCCAAGTTGTGTCCCATGTTCTTTTTCCTATCCAACCATGATTTTTTTTTTATTATTATTAAAGCATGCCCAAACAGTGTTTTAGCAATAATTTAAAGTTAGTTCTAATTTAATACAATTGACTAAATATTCAAAGTTAAAGCCAATTACAAACAATCTAAACAACTCCTTTACAAAAAAAAAAAAAAAAAAAAAGAATAAAAAAGAAAAAGTTCAGACAAGGCTTATAGTTATAGGTGTGTAAAAGCCTTAAAATAGCTCGCACATTTTAATACACTTCAATCTCTTAATCTCAATTTCACCAATTATTCAATTTTAATCGTAATTCAATTTTAACAATTTCTTTTCTAAATTGTTTTTGCCACTATTGACCTGCAGGTTTTTTTTTCTTTTTTTTTGAATTTGAATTTTTCCCTAAAAATGATTTCCGCCGTAGACCGGTGGTCAACGCCAATCTACAACGTTGGTTTTTTTTTCCTAAAATGTTTTGTCCGGTAAAAACAAAAATATTAATGTGTTTGACAACAATAATAACTTTAATATTGTCTAACATTACAATATTTTATTAATAGAGTCATATTAAAAAATATTATTGTGTAACACAATAATATTAACAACAATATTCTTGTGTTGCAAAATAATATTGACGTGTAACACAATAATACTATAATGTTGACCAGTCAACACATAAAAAAGTCCAAAAATTAATATTACTCTAGTTGTCAATTACATTATTTAACAGTAAAAAAACAAATTTCAAAAAAATAATATATCAAAAACAAATTTCAAAAAAATAATCCAATGCCGGAGACCGTCGTTGATCTCCGGTCAGCTGCCGGTCTCCAGCAGCCAAAAAAAAAAAAAAAACAAAACTGGATTGTTGGGGTTGAGGGTAATTTAGTCGTAAATATTAGATTTGCCTATACTTGTAATACATGTTGAATAGGTGGGCTAATTGGCGAAAATAATTCCTCTAGTTGTTTTCTTTTGAATTATTCCTTTGCGTTGTTCGTATCTTTAAACGACAAATAATTATATGCGCTTACTTCATAAAAATAAAGAGATTGTTCTTTTGGATGTAATTTTGTTACATATGATTATATAAAATTAGGTATTAAATTTTATTATATTACTAAATTTTATGGTTATATTACACAATCCTCTGATTAATTGTTGTAATACATTCACCTACAAAATAATATACAACCATATTATTTTTATTACAAACATTATAAGCAATCATTTTCATTCGGTTAAACTAGCAACTAGCAAATATTTAAACACGTCGGACTTGTCAATTTTTTTCATTACGTAAAGAAGAACCTTAATAAAAATTTAAATCGAAGGCCGGGGTCCAATGAACAAAATCAACGTCTCTTTGCTTTTAATTTCTTGCATTTTTTGCGTTGTACATGGTTTTCAGACAAATTCCGCATCAATTGGCCGCAAGCAAGTTGTCAAATGGTGCATTGCTCAACCGAGTGCTCCTCAAGAAAAGTTGCAAGGACTTATTGACTATGCTTGCGGAGTTGTCGATTGTTCAGCCATTCAACCAGGTGGTTCATGTTACTATCCCAACATGATACTGAGTCATGCAGATTACGCTCTAAATCAACTCTACAGGTATAAAAGTTCCTGCAATCTGTATATCGCGACGATAACAAGCGTTAATCCTTCATACGGGAGTTGCATGTATTCATGATCGTAGGAGAAGATTCACGAAAAAGAGAGAATTTAAAAAAAATAATAATTATAATAATTTGGTCGTGTAAGAAGATTCACGAAAAAGAGAGAATTTAACAAAAAAAATATAATAATTTGTACTGAATAAGATTGTCCTTTTGGTCCTGTATCTCTTCCAATTTGGCCACGAGTGCCTAATAATAATTCGTTGTTTCCTCAAACAATAATATTAGGGATTATTTTGTAGACCCCCTCATTTACAAATTATATAGAACTAACTACCAAGTGGATTACACTCTACGGGAAACCTTCCTCATTTTGAAAATATTTTGACATACCCCCTGGGCTACCATGAAGTCCCTATAATACCCTTTTAAAACCAGTTTTAAACCCTAGTACAATCGTCTCTCTCTTCCTCTCCCAAATTCAAAATCTCGCCTCCACAAACCTCCCACCGGCGAAATTGCTTCCCGGAGTCATAACTCTCTCTCCGGTGGTCGGAATTCGACGGTTTAACTACCTTGGATTCCTCTCGTCGAGATCTTTCTTTTGGTGGTGATTTCATTCAGTTTGGAGTGCAGATTTGTTTCTACAATTTTATTTCATTCGACGACGGTGGTCTTGCCGGAGGTGTATTTTGTGTTCCACCATTCGAAATTTGACGGGCTACCCACCGTTGGATTCCTCTCGTCGAGATCTATATTTTGATGGTAATTTCGTTGCTTTTATGTTCTCATATTTATTTCTATATTTTTTGCATTTATGGGCGCACGGAACCGTGAAAATGATAAATGCAGGACCAAAAATGTTGAATGCAGTTTGGCCGAAAATTGCATATAAGGGTAGTATAATACTTTCGCTCTCCAGGGGGTATATCAAATGATGATTTGAACTTGGGTTAATCCCTAATTTATTTGGTGGCTGGGGGTATGTAAAATAACCCCTTAATATTAAAATCTTTTTGTTTGGATTAATTTGATTTTTTATTTTGTTTGATTCTTATCTTTTTCATTTTTATTATAAATCATATGTAATTTATTTTTTGTATTTATTTGAAGATGATTCGAAATGCCTCAACTATGAGATCTGTGAACAATTAATATTATTTTTTTTAATTAATTTGATTTTTTATTTTGTTTGATTCTTATCTTTTTTTTTTACTATAAATCATATGTAATTTATTTTTTGTATTTATTTGAAGATGATTCGAAATGCTGCAAGTGTGAGAGCTTTGTTTGTCTGTAGTAGAAATTTAACCTGTAATAGTTACTTACATAGTTGATTTGAGTCAGGTGAATATAAGTGATATTTAGTTATATACAGTCATATATAGTCAGTCATATGTAGTCATGTATAGTCATGACTACATATAACTTGACTATATTACTTGTAGTACACTATAGTCATTTGTAGTCGATTTTAGTACAATAAATTTATCACAAAAAAAAAAATCATGTTTTTTTGTATTTTTCATGTAATCTAACTCACATGTTCCATTTGTTAGAGTAGGTGACCAACAAGCCAACATGTAGCTGTGGTCTTTCGTATTTATTATTGTAATAAACAAACCTTTATTCGTATTAATGATAAAAGACCTTGGCATTCTATATCTTTGTCCCTTTGTCACAAGCATAGATATAGTCCTTACAGTTATTACAAGTACTAGTAATTGATCGTTAGGATCGTGAGATATTTACTTAAGTATTATAACTGCTAAACATGTTCCTAGTCGAAGGGTTACGCCACCAATGAGGATATCGACCTTTCCCATTAAGAGACTAGCACTTAGTGTATGTGTACTGCATCTCACCAGTAAACGGTATTGTGATATCGGCATGCATAAGTGGGTGCTCGTAAGTTGACGAGTTCACTGAACTCCCTCACCCTAGAAATCTCTAAGTGGTTCTCAATAATCGAGTAGAGATATTTATGGTATAGTTGTACACCATTAGTCCTTCTAGACATCACCGTGACTTCACTAGAGGACCAGCTGTATCGTGACCTGTCCCTGAGTTCCACCGAGGACCATCCCAAGGGCCAGTGTTCGTGCAGTCCGAAATCTAGTGGGAGGTCTGTGCATTGTAGTCGGGTATTCGATCGCTAGAATAGTCTTGGATGTCCTGTGTGTTCTGAAAGTTTGTAATCATTCTAAGTCTCTGGCCAGAGCTGACTAAGTGATGATTAGAGAATTTGATTCTCTAAGTCATGCACGTAACGATTACAACACTTAGAACGATCGCACGGTCATTGAACATATAGAGAGGTCTCGATGAACCAATGCCTCTAGTTCAATCGGGACATATGAATCGAAGGGACCGTACTGTACGTTAACTATATCTGAAGGTTCTTGCAGGCACTTCATTTGTATCTAGGCAATCATGACGCGTAGTTGCTAGACGCCAATCTTGATTCGTTGGGTGATTAAGGTGAAACGAGTTTCATCTTAATCGTAACTCTAAGGGACGAGTTTTGACCACAAAGAGTTGTGGGCCCATGGCTAGCTTACACCTGAACCATCGAGGGTCACACTTCTCGTGCACATGAGATCTCTGAATAAACGGTCAGAGATAAAATAGTTTATCTTTGTATGATTGGAAGTCAATACGATTGGGTCCAACATTCGTAATTTGGAATTACGAATGAGAATAAGAAAAGGAAAAGAATAGGCGAACATTGTAGTGGACTTTCTAAATCGGGAAGTTTCCAAATTTAGAAAGTGCACTGAACTAGGCTTTCCACTTTTGGAAAGTTGGAAATTGAGAGTTGGCACTCGTAATGACGAGGACTTTATAATAATTCCGAAAATGTAATCGTTGCAATTTTTCGGTCATTGAATTGAGAGAGACGAGCAAGTAAAAGTACTAGCGAACTTAAGCTATTGGGCCCGGTCCAACTTAAACCCGCTAGGGTTTTATGCAAGACACTATAAATACAAGATTTATAGGTCTTGCACAAAAGAGAACACAACCCTAACCCTAGCCGTCACTCTCTCTCTCTCTCTCGGCCATTCTTCTTTTTTTTTTCTTCCGTTATTTCTAACTATTACGTGTCTAGTGCCACGTATTTAGTAGATCGAAGTATACGAGGAGGAAGATCGAAGATCGAAGAATCGAGGAGCAGCACACGAGCCGAAGCCGCACGCAACCCCACGCGCCGCCCCGAAGACCGCGCGTGAGATTGACGCGCCGCCGTGGCCCATCTCGCCGCTACTACCGCTCCACCGCTGCTGCCCCGGATTGTACGGATTGGTTTCCGTAGCAATCTCGACTTGCTTAGCGCTCTCACGCTTCAAGAGGTAAACACACGAATTCAATATTCTTGATTCGTTTACGTTTAAACAATATATTCATGTTCGATCTCGTATGATTTTATGTGGTTACGTGAAATCGTTTTAATTGTTGCGAGCATGTTATTTGGTTTAAATGCGAGCATGTTAATTGATTTAAATTCGGTTAAATAAATTAGCATGTATGTTGTTTTTAATTTCGCTGGAAGCGCAAAGGTACGCAATTAATTGTTTCAATTATCGGGCATATGTTTATGTGTTTTAAATTTGTTTAAATCGCATAAATTTTTGTTTTCCACTGCGTACACGTGCCCGAAACCCAACACCATTTTCTCTTTAACTCGCAATTTTTTGTCGCCTGTTTTGCTTTTATTATAATTTTATGATATGTAGAGAATAAGATGCGGTGAAGTGCCTTGTGAAGTTGGATTCATGCTATAGTAGTCTAGACTTTATGTCACTATATATAACTATAGATAATTGTAGATAACTATAATCACATGTAGTAACATATAATTATATGTATGTTATAAATTTTTTAATGTACAGTAATGCTTGTTCATTTAAAGAACATATGCATGTGATTGTGTTTTTTCGTTTTTTGTTTGTTAGTTGATTTATAATATCAAGATCCAAATTGTGAATTTTTGTTGGTATAGATGAATTTTGGGGTAAAAAAACAGTACACGACTACATATAACTATACATGACTATTGACACTGTAGTCATGTGTCGTATACTTTCAGTAGAGTAATGTTTCCAAATTTTGAATTAATAAAAAAAATTAAAAAAATTAAAAATTAAAAAATTAAAAAATTAAAAAAATTAAAAATTAAAAAAAATTAAAAAATAAAACAAATTAAAAAAAATTAAAAATATTTAAAAAACAATTTATAAAAAAATACAATAATAATAAAGAAATAGTACAATATATATATAGGAATAAAAAAACTTATTAAATTAAAAATCATGATATATGCAGTACAAAAACACAAAATGCAGGTCCAAAATGATAATGCAGTTGGTAAAAATGTTGAATGCATGCAGTTGGACGAAAATTGTACACAAGGTTACAATTGTACTTTTGTCTCTCCAGAGCGGTATCTCAAAGAAAGATTTTTAGGGGTGGACCTATCCTTATATATTTTCTATTTGAGGGTTGTATATCAAAATGGACCCAAAAATTAAATACAATTATTTATCCAATTTATTAACAAGAGAAGAGAATTGCGGGAAAAACTTTGATTTCTCTAATTAGTTGATATGGCAAAGTATATAGCCCAACGAAATGGGAAAAAAACTGTTTTCATCTCTTAAGTTTGAATCGAGTTCACATTTGGTCTGGTATACTCACAAGAAAAACATTTGGTCCTTTATGTTTTAAAAATTCAACATTTTTAGTCATTTCCGTAAATTTTATGTTAAAATTAACGGAATCAAACATGTGTCCATCACTATCGTAGCTGACAGACTAAGGGTAAATCGACGGAAATGACCAAAAGTGTCAAATTATTGAAACACGAGGGACCAAATATGAAATCATTGCAAAATTAAGGGATGAAAACAGCAAATTTCCCCCCAACGAAATACTCCACCAATTAGTCAATTAAAATAAATACAACATATTATTACTATAAATAGTTTTAAAATATTCTAATATTTACTTGCCTAATGTTACAATTTAATATTTACTAAAACAGATTGTCTTCATTTTATTTTATTTTTGACCAAAC